TGAGCTCTCAGTATCATGAGTGCATTTCTCTTAAATTTGTAAAGAATTCGAAGGGTAACACCGTTGCGTGAAACCGTGCATTTTTGCTGCACTAACAAGAGTGTTTGTCTGTCCTTGAGTGGGAAAAACCAAGAATGTAGCTGCGAGGGTGACCCTCCTACCAAGTTGGTGTGTGATGCCTTAAGTCGGTGGCACAAATACTATTACAAAAAACTCAGAGAGCAGCATGGCGCGATTTTATACGCGCTGTCAGTGTTTTGTGATGTGTCATGTTAGGAAATGAGAAGTTCGGTTTTCACGAACCCTTATTAACCTCAAAGGTAAACTGCTGCTTTTGTTATTTGCTTCCAGAAATGTTTGAACTGAACGCATTTTCAAGCTCCCCAAATTCAACACGTCCGATGTTCATAGAGAAGGTCACATGTGGTGGCTGTAAGCGGAATACGGCTCCCACCTGACGGCCACGTTACCCCCTTTTGTCTCTGCAGTAAAGTACATGGGAAATGGCCAGGCTTTTCCTAGTTAAGAAATTTCTATGGGTGGATCTGGGACTGTGTTCAAGCCCAAGGTCCTGGCTCTAATTCCCATGCTTTCTTCCTATTTAAAATTGAAAGACGAATTCGGCATTAACTATCTCTTTGTTTTTACTTCCCAGAAGCATTTGGCCCACAGCGTTTCATAAATTTAATTTTTTTTAATGTTTTATTTATTTCTAGGAGAGAGAGAGAGAGAGAGACAGCGTGAGCAGGGGAGGGTCAGAGACAGAGGGAGTCACAGACTGAAACAGACTCCAGACTCTGAGCTGGCAGTCAGCACAGAGCCCGACGCGGGGCTCGAACCCACGAACCGCGAGATCATGACCTAAGCAAAAATCAGACGCTTAACCGACTAAGCCACCCAGGCGCCCCTCATAAATTGAATTTTTAAATCGGGAGAGTTTATGCAGAGATTTGGATTTGCTGCCTTAACAGTGAACCGTGGTCCCTGAGGCAGCCCTTAGCCGGAGGGCCCTTCACATAGGCCACAGTCCCCCATTACCAGCCTGACCTCAGAGCCACTGAGGCACATGGTGCCTGGATTGTCGGAACTTCAGCTTTAAGCGTTTTTCATATAAACTGTATGTTTTGAAGCTCATATTCTATCCCTGACCGCCTCCAGGGTTGCAAATGCTCAAAGTCCCAGTGTGTTCAGACACCGCCCCCCCCACCCCAGCATTACTCGTCAGCAGAGGGTCCTGGTCTTTACCCAGCAGCCCCTGTGAGCAGACGGCAGATCTGAGGTTAGAAAGATTCAGGCTACTTCGGTTTTTAAGGTTTTGAATTCTCTGGTTGCTATTTCCGTGCCCCCAAAGCCCCAGACTTTAATTCACTTAAGGAACAAGAAAGCTTGGCTGGTTTTCCTCTGTGTCAGAGGCGCCTGGGTTCGGACCTGATGCTGGCTAGTAAGGCAGTGGCCTGCCTTCCCTTTCCCGCTGCCCCTCAAGGGCTGGACCAGCTTCCTAGGCATCGACCTGGCATCTGAGAGAGACGGAGAATCCAGGGCCCCTCCCCACATCTACTTCAAGACTGTGCGTTTCCAGGACACCCCCGCACCCCCCCCCCAGGGTGCACAGACACATTAAAGTTTGAGAAAGGCTGCTTCAAGCGGGTGAGAGTCACGCTTTGTGTCTGTGCCCTCCAGCCCTCCCCACCCAGAGCAGGACCCCTGTCCCCTCCCCACAGATAACGGGACCCCTCTAGCCCCGCTTCTCCAAGCTTCTCCAAGGGGGGAGGGGGTAACCGGCAGAGCCCTGGGCTCATCGCCCCAGCCGGATTGCGCGCCCTGGATCAGCGGACCATTTTGTGCCTCGGCTCTGCCACGCTTTCTTCTCCAATTCATTTTATATTTTCATGAAACGTTCAAGTGGATATTAAACAGGGCAGCAGGTAGGCAGATCGTTGGTGCGTGGAAGTCTCTCTCTCACTCGGGCTTCTGTTGCCTCTTCTGAGCCCTGAGTCAGGGACCAAGCAGGACTGTGTAATTACTTTTGCTTATGCAGTTCTATGCGGCTGGGATCTGATTTTCCTTTCCTGGAAGAAGATGAGAACTGGAAGCCTCTCCTGGCCAGCGCCGCTCAGTGCCTGGCCGCACCCGAGGGACCTGTCCCGGCGTCAGAGGAGGGTCATGTGCCACAGGGCTCCCTGAGCCGAGTTCACGCTTGTCCCATTAATGACCTCGCGATGTGGCCCCCGGTTTCCAGGCGTGCCCCCTACCATTCGATCTCCTTAAATGCACTTGGTCTGCATCGGAGCAAAGTCTACACTCCGGAACTCTGGGAATACACAGCTCTGTCCTTACCAGGGCGGTTGCAGCATTCCAAAGTAAAAGAACAGAAGTTAGGGATTATATAAGCATTAAAAGAAGGAGCAACCTCCGCCACCTTCATGATTTTTGAAGTAGGTGCAGTTTGTTGTCTAAAACAGATCCTACAGCACCGCACCTGTTTCTCCGGCGTTGCCTTCTGCTTTCGATTCTTCTGGGAAGATGCTTTTGCTTTCTTCCTCTCCACAGAGTTCAAATTAAAACTCTTAAGCTCAGAACACGGTCATTGGGAAGTATCAGGGTGCTGAAAGTTATTAGGGAGATCAGGGATGACAGAGGAGACGGAGAGGGGAGGGACGGAAACAAAAAGGAAATGAGGTGTGAAGCAGTTACCCTCACTACCTTTCTCACATAACCCTTTCACGCCGGCTTTGTTCTAGTAACTGCTTTGTAAGGTCAGATGGCACGGAGCAGATGGGAGTGCCTGCTGGAGCCATCCTGAGCGTCTGCCTCTGTTTACCCATTTGCTCGCCTTTTCTTCCACGAAGAAAGCAAACAGTGTGAAAGCGAGACAGTGAGCTTTCTGAGGCGGGCGCCCTGGTATGCAAATAAACCGGCACCCGCCAGTCTTGTGAGCTGAAAGTAATGATTTTTATGTAGTATTCTCAACGACACCAAAGGCCGCCTTAGTAGACAGGGCCTGCTGTGTATAGTCAGGTCAGTAGCGGCGGACGTTTGGGCCGCCGGTCCTGGTATGAGGGGATTAGAAGCGAAGACAAGTGTGCAGGCCAGCATGGGCTTTAGTGCCAAGTTCACAATCCCCGACAAGGACAATTCGTCCTGCAGAGAATATTGTCCCAAGAACATGATGCGGTCATGGGCCAATGTTCCCATGTGCCATTTTGAAATTGGAAAGAGCTCACTCATTCTCAGCTGCTTAGAACCACAAGGTTCGGAGGGAGGAAGGATCTTGGGACTCTCATGCAAGCACCTCACCCCAGATGAGGGGATGAGGCCCCAGAAGAGGTGGAGTTGTGTCTCCTGCCACCCACTGGGCTGTCTTCTCCCCGCACTGGGCTTGCCAGAGGTTGGCTTTGGTCCTTAAGCACAGAGCCGATGGGCGCAAATCTCAGTCCTGTCCTTCACTGTGCCCTCAAAGGTACTGCCCCGGTGCCCTCTGCCGACGCGGTCGGAAACTCCAGAGGTCATCAGTGGGGATGTTACACATGCTGGGGAGAAATGTGGCCTGTCTGTCCTGGGGACAGCTTTCTCTCAAACACTCCGAATGTGGTCCGGCGGTCCGCCTCTGAGCCCAGGTCTCCTGCCTGTCCCGGCCCTGAGCCCCTCTGTGAAGGGAGCCCCAGGTCATCTTCCCAGGAAGGTGGACACAGGGTGGTGGATGACCAAACTTAGAAGACACCGCAGAGAAACTGTTGCTCCCTTCTGGCAGTTCATTCAAAACTGGTTCAAAGAGACAAGCTCACTCAATCTTCATGAGAGCGGGGAGGACGAGGTGGCTTTTTAAACTAAATATTGCACAATTAAAGGAAGTTACTATGTAGGAATTGCCTTGGGGATTCTCAACTCTTGCATAGGAAAATATTTTTATTAGAACAAATCCTTTTGCAGATTACCAAAATTGTCTCTTAACAAAACACGGCGATGGGTATATTTGGAGATTAAGCTTTTAAACGATGAGAGAGAAATATCAGGCTTCCCCCCACATACACTTCCATGCTTATTATTAATAGTCTCTTCGTTTTCTTACCATGAGAGCAGATGATTTTATAGTTCTACCACTTTATTTATTTTGTAAATTAGTTATTTGATGTCAGTGAATACATTACCCTTAATATTGCTGATTATAACCAGAGATGCTGAAAACGGCTGTACCCAGTTACTCTGGGTTGCTGAGGCATTCATAAATGTTCTCTGTCAGCAGTAACAGGCAAAGAGACTTGTTCTTAGAAAAATGCTACATGGGGCGCCTGGGTGGCTTAGTTGGTTAAGCACCGGACGTCGCCTCGGGTCATGATCTCACAGTTCGTGGGTTCAAGCCCGGTGTTGGGCTCTGTGCTGACGGGTCAGAGCCTGGAGCCTGTTTCAGATTCTATGTCTCCCTCTCTTTCTGCCCCTCCCCTCCTCATGCTCGCTCTCTCTCTCTCAAAAATAAACATAAGAAAAGACTTAGAAAAAAGCTACACCTATCGCTCCCAAAGTAGAAAGACAACCTATAGATTTATACTGGGAGTGTTGATAAATGTTTCATTGTAGTGGTTTTGATTGAGGGTGGAGTTGGTCACATTTTTAAGAAAGCCATGAATAATAAACCGGTGAACGCTTAACGTTTCCACCAGTTTTCCTACAAAGCAGACCTACTTAGGTGTGATTGACATCTTAAGATTTTATTCTTAGTTCCCTAAGGGATTTGGGAAAACACATACCACAAAGAAACTTTTGATTTCTGCTCATTAAGTGTGAAAAATTATGGAGCATTTGTAATCAAATTATCTAGTTACTTGGTTAATCTAGAGGTATTTCTAGGTTTCTTTTTTCATAAGAAAAAATAAGCTTGTTTTGTTTAACAGGAGGAACTCCCTACCATACATAGACTTGCTTTCAAATAAGGTAACGGAAACATGCTTTAAACAGTTTTTTTCCTCTTTGCTGCCAATCCCGCGCCTTGCCAGTATCTCCAGCTTTGGAAGAGTTAAAAGCAGTGCCTGCTTCAGCTGTTACTGAGAGGTCGGTAGTAAGAAGCAGAAGCGCTGCTCCGCGGAGAAGGAGACCCGGTAATTCCCCGACCCGTAGGACCCCGGCGGCGGGCGGTGCGCCCCGCGTTTGCACACGCATCCAGGACTTCCTGGGTCGGATCCGGGCGTGACCGGGGGGGCGGCCCCGCAGCCGGGGGGCAGTCGCTGAGCGCGCGCGCGCGCGCGGGGGCGCTCGGCCGCGCTCGGCGCCCCGGGGCCCCGCGTGCGAGCTTGGGGGCGCCGCGGCGGGGCGGCCCGGGGCCCGGCGGGGGCGGGGGCGCCGCGGGCTCTGTGTTGCTGCAGCCGTGATGTCACTCGCCCGTCCTAACCCGCGGTTGGTTGTTGTGTGTTTCAGCTCTGCCTGCAGTCGAACACAAAGACCTGGAGGAGACTCCCACATCCATCCTCCGGGGAGGAGAGAGGAGGCGGCCGAGCGGATTAAAGGAACCTGTGGCTCGCGGCCTTGCGGCCGGGGGCGGGGCGCGCCGGGAGGCGGCTGGCGGGGAGCGCGCGGGGAGATGGGGCGCCGCTGCCGCCGCCGGTGACCCCCGGGCTCCAGGCCCCGTCCGCGGCCCCGTGCGCTCCCCGTACATGTGCCTGCTCGGCGCATCGGGAGGCGCGCCGACGAGCATCCAACACGGCGGCCGGGGAGCGCGCGCCCGCCATGCCCACGGAGACCCTGCAGACGGGCAGCATGGTGAAGCCGGTCAGCCCCGCGGGCACCTTCACCTCGGCCGTGCCGCTGCGCATCCTCAACAAGGGGCCCGACTACTTCCGCAGGCAGGCCGAGCCCAACCCCAAGCGGCTCAGCGCCGTGGAGCGGCTGGAGGCGGACAAGGCCAAGTACGTCAAGAGCCAGGAGGTCATCAACGCCAAGCAGGAGCCCGTGAAGCCGGCCGTGCTGGCCAAGCCGCCCGTGTGCCCCGCCGCCAAGCGCGCCCTGGGCAGCCCCACGCTGCGCGCGCTCGGCGGCCACGCCAAGACGGAGGCGGGCGTGCAGCGGGAGACCCTGAAGCTCGAGATCCTGAAGAACATCCTCAACAGCTCCGAGGGCTCCGGCGCGGGCGCGGCGCACAAGCTGGGCGCGCGGAACTGGCCGCCGCCGCGGCCCGACTCGGCCGACGCGCACCGGCGCTCGTTCGCCGAGTCCCTGAAGGTGTTCCCGACGCAGGGGCGCGGCGGCCCGCAGGAGGGCGCCCCGCTCGCGGGCCGGCGGCTGCTGGAGCCCTCGGCCGACGCCTTCCTGCACGTCTCGCACAGCTCGTCGGACGTCCGCAGAGCGGGCAGCGCGCGGCCGCCCAAGGCCATCCCCTGCAGCAGCTCCGCGCCCCCCCTGCCCCCCAAGCCCCGGGGCGCGGCCCTGGCCGCCGCCGCCGGGTCCCCCGAGGCCGAGCCGCCCGAGCCGGCCTGCGGCGTCAGCCGGAGACCCTCGCTCCAGCGGTCCAAGTCGGACTTGAGCGACAGGTACTTCCGCGTGGACGCCGACGTCGAGCGGTTCTTCAACTACTGCGGACTGGACCCCGAAGAGCTGGAGAACCTGGGGATGGAGAACTTTGCGAGGGCCAATTCCGACATCATCTCGCTCAACTTCCGCAGCGCCAGCATGATCAGCTCAGACTGCGAACAGTCTCAGGACAGCAACAGTGACCTTAGGAATGACGACAGTGCCAACGACCGGGTGCCCTACGGCATCTCCGCCATCGAAAGGAACGCCAGGATCATCAAGTGGTTGTACAGCATCAAGCAAGCCAGGGAGTCGCAGAAGGTCTCCCACGTGTGAGGGCCAGCGTGCGGAGGGGGGTGGGGCTCTGTCCGTGCATCCGCAGTCGTGAAGGTTGTGAGGTCTCCTTGCAGTGTTGTGAGCTTCTCCACTCTCTTTGTGTTGCCTGTTGTGCAATGTTTCCAAGTTGCATGCCTGTCAACATGGGGACCGACCCGGCTTCCTCGTCGACCGCTCGTCACCCGCCAAGACTTTCAGGCCAGAATCCAGCTAGGGCTCCCATCTCCAGCAAAACTGTTTACACGAAACACGGTATACGACTTCTTCGGTATTTATGTGGTTCTTGTGTTTTTATACCCCGCGCTCTTGTGTCTTAATTAAAGATTTTATCAACTGGCTTTTATGTTGAGAGTAGAATCTTTTCGAAATAAAGAGCCAATTTGCCTACCTGCGAGACCCAAACGGTGGGGAAGGAAGTGGGATCTGCTACCAGACAGACAACAGTGACTGACCTGAGGTAGAGAACCAGGCTGGGCTTTCTGAGGAAGAAAGGTGGGGAGCCTGACGTTAATCGTTTGCGTATGGGAATTCTCCTGCCACTTATTAAAGCAATGGGGCAACAGTGCTCCGTGTTGTGTCCGACTCGGTGTGTAAATGTGGGTGCTTCTGTGTAATACTGACCCCAAGGAAAGACAATCAGCTACGATGAAGGCGATTAAATCTAGGAGTTTGGGGTTTGGGGGGCTTGTTGATGTTCTGATTTGGGTTGGTTCCAGAAATTTCTACGATTAATCTTTTGACGGGAATGGCCATCCTAAAGCTGGTACTAAATGTCTTTAAAAAAAGAAAAAAGTTGTTTGGTTTTTTTTGATCAAGAACTAACTCTATGCCGATTCTCTTCCCTCTCTCCGCCCCTTCCTGTGCTGTTGATTTATTTGGGAGACGGGGTTGGGGCTTGTGCAGGTCCGAGCTCCCGGAAGACATGAACACAAATGGAAATACCAGCCATACCAATATAGAGCCTCCCATGCAAAAGTGAATACGTTTCGTCACTGAACCATATCTGAGCAGTGCGATTGTGCCGTCTTGCATACGTTACTCTCTCAGGCTGTGGACCTTTGTTGCAGCTCTAGGAGACTGTAGAGACATGGGGCCATGTAGCTTTCCCACCCTTTGGTCTCCAGGGCTGCCTATCTATCACCTTGCTCCCCGTTTTCCCCCATAACCTGTCCCGCGGGTGGTTAGTTAGCTGTGGACCAGCTGACGGTCGTGGTGTGGTAGCAGAGAGGTAAACGTGTAGTGGTCAGCTTCATTCCTCTGTAGTCATGCTCCTAAGCTCTCAGCAGCACCACCTTAGACTTTATCGGCTAATGGGAAACTTTTTATGGTGTAAATGCTGTAAGACTCTGTACATACTTCGGTTGTTACGAAATCTTTAAGGAAAAAAAAGTTACGCTAATAAATAGCTCTGGTGCAGGCACTAATGGTGGTGGTTTCTCTTTGTCCTTTTCTTCGCTTCCTCCACAAAAAAACTCACCTTGGGACTGTGAGCCAGAAGCAGATTTTTGAGCATCCTAAAGAGACGTTATTTCAGTAAGTCCTTTTCACCGTATCACAGTTCTTCCAAACAGCGATAGCGATGTGCTTTTGCTAAAATAGCTTTATCAAGATTCCTCAAGTGTGCTGCCTCTTCTTTACTTAGTTCACACTTTGGTTATTTTTACCTTTTCTTGAACATCAGAATTTTTCACATCCTTTCCAAGACTTGTCAGTTGTAAATATTTATGAGTGTATACTGCAGAGACATACCTTTGGGTGTTCTTTGCTTGTGCAAGCCCAACGTCATGAACATCACGTGTGTCCATATACCCTTTCCTCCCGTTCATTCACTCCTCTTCCAATGGGCCATTTGATGAGTGGCTCCCTTTTTCAGGCCTCACAGGAGGCACACAACTACTGTGGTCAACCACACATTCGGCCTCGAGGGACACGGATTCTCACGTTTACTTTCAGAGAAACGTCACTCTTCTTAGTGGACGTATCTTATCTCTTCTTAGGACAGTGAGCATTCAGGTATTTGCTGAATCAAGTTGTTTGAAGACTAACATTTCTTCCAGAGTTCCACATGATACGTAAATGTAAAAAAAAAGCATCATTTGAAAACTTTTCAGCGACAGAAATGGTAAGATTCCCAACCAGTACTGTTTGTAACACTTCCCTTCTGAAAGTCAAATTTGGTTCGCGGTCTCTCTGCTACTTTTGAATTCTTTCTGGTTCTCTGATTAATACAGTTCAACTAGAACTTCTACTTCCCAGAAGAAACGTTTTGAAATGCAGCTTTTCCCAGAAGAAACGTTTTGAAATGCAGCTTTGTGTGGGTGATGACACAGTGCTTTCAAGACAATAGAATGAAAATAGGTTTCTTTCATTTAGTTCAAAATAAGTTATATATGTATGTATACACACACGCATATATACATATATATATATACACACATACATATATATACATATTGCCTAATCATTAGGGCAGAAATGTGGCCATTTGAAATATTCATGCCTTCGCATTTATATATCCCATCTCTTTCTAGGGCTATTGAAATACCAAAAATAGTGTCATTTCACTAAGGAAACCAGTTTTTTTTTTGAAGAGGAGCACTTCGTAGCTAATTTAATATTACTGCCCATGCTGTTTTAGTCCTGGACCTTGTTGAATCCTCCAACATTTCAAAACCACGTTTAATCTGTATCCCACCATAACTCAGTCTAATCCTAGGTGGCCTTATTACTGTAGTGGACAAATGTGAGCCTTTGGGTTCCTTCCATAGAAGGTGGGGGGCCCCTTATTTTCTTTTGGTTCTTGAAATGAGAGTTTCTATAAAGGACTGTTTCAAAGGCCTACTATTAAATCCTAAGAGTGAGATGCTTCCTGATTGTAAAGTCTTATTCACAAAGCACTGATTCTGTTAGTGCACGAAAAGTATCTTGTGTGTGTGTGTGTGTGTGTGTGTGTGTGTGTGTGTGTGTGTGAGAGAGAGAGAGATAATGTTGGTAGGAATATAAAGTTGTGTAATTCAGCATACTTTTCTCAACACACAACATAGAAGGAAGCATGATTTTACAAGATGGCCCCAAATACTGGTTGTTTCTGAGAACCACCAAATTTGAAGACAGCCCTCCCAGACCCCACTCCCTCTGCCATTATCTTAATCCAGGCTCTCATCTTTGTCCCTGAACTATTGTTCTTATAATCTCCTAACTGGAGGTCCCTCTGCTGCCAACCAATCTCCCTTCCTAACCCATTTCATGCCAAAGATATCATAATCAACTCTGATCATGTTACTTCTCTATGTGAGAACATCCCCTAGCTTGAATATATTGCCAACAGGATAAACCCCAACTTCTTAAGAGAATGTTGAGCGTTTACTTTTCAGACCCCATTTTCTGTGTCTCCAGGCTCCCCGGGCTCCAACCACTCAGGCCCTCAGGCTCCAACCAGAGGAAGTTTCCATTGGGAGCCTTTTGCCACTGTTAGGGATCTCTTCTGCAAGATAAAGCTGAGCAACTTATAACAATAAATATTTATTATCTCACTTTCTGTGGGTCAGGAATCCTGGAGTGGCTCAGTCAGATGATTCTGGCTCAGCAGGTCTCATTAGGCTCCAGATGAAATGTCAATTGGAGCTGTATCATCTGAAGGCTTGACTGGGGCTGGAGAACCCACAATTCCAAGATGAGTCACATGATGTTGGCAAGGGTCCTTACAACCTGGCATCTGGCTTCCTCTAAAGGGAGTGACCCAACAAAGAAAGCAAGGAGGAAGCCACAAAGCCTTTTATGATCCAATATCTGAAGTTACACACCTCCACCATGTTCAATTGATAGAAAGCATGTCACTAAATACAGCCCACACTCAGAAGAGAGGAGAGTCAGATCTCATCTTGTAAAGGAAGACTTATCAAGGAATTTATACTTATCTTTCAAAGTCACTGCTGAGTTTCAGAAGCTTCTCATTCTGTAAGAAATGCTTTGTCCCTCCTCCTTGACTTTGCAGACTCCTGCTCTTTCAAGACTCAACACAACGATCAACCAGTGAGATATTTGAGTTTTTATTTTCTGCTGGGTTAAAAAAAACCTGCCCTATTAATTCATAAATCTCCAAAGATTATCATATGAACTGTGACCCCAGAGTTGGCCAGGCCATAGCACAGCAGCCTAGAATATAGAGTAGATGCTTAGTGTCGACTGGGTTTTTTTTTTTTAACCGATCACTTTTCAGTTCTGTGCTAGTTACTCCAAAAGTGTGCTCAAACGAACCCAAGGTGTCCCATTTTACAGATAAAGAGCCTCAGTTCCAAGGAGGTGAAGCCCCTTAACCAAGATCCCAGGGGAAGTAAGTGGCAGAATGGGGCTTGAACTCAGTGCTGCGATCTCAGCTTAAGACAGAAGAAGGACTGTGTGTTGTACTTTAAAACCAAAGTGCTTTAAATTCATCTTGATAATTTCATCTGCTGTCTGTATGTACAAACTTGCCTCAAACAGTCAGAATTTCAGCCATTTCAGTCCTAACCAAAATGACAACCAATAAAATTTAGAAAGAGACTTCAGCTGTTGTGTTATGAATAACCCATCAGCCTGCGAAGTTCAAAGAGACAGGCTGTTCAGAATAGCCTTCTTTCAGTTTGGAGTGTGCTGTGTCTGGAAGGTACATCCTATCACTTTTGACCAAGGACTCTTAGAAAGGATAAGCAGAGATAAATGTCTGCCCATAATTCAACCATCAGGGACCACATGTTGGCAATTCGGTGAATCAGCATGGCTCCTTTCTGCCATCCGTGGGGAGGTATGTGGTGTGCTCTGGCCAGAAGATGCACTGGGAGGGGAATAAAAAGGCTAAGGACACTCCAGAAGAACTGAATAGACCCTTAGCTCAAAAAGGATGATTAATCTCCCCACAGTTTTGAAAATGTGACACCTGCCTTATCCACTCAGCCCTGGAGGGTGACTGGGAGTTCTGTTGGCTTCTCCATGGCTATCTAAGGGTGGTACAATGAAGGACGTAGGCTCAGGGGTGGCGTGTTTGACTCTGAACAAGTCACCTGCACAGAGGGGTTCTCTCTGAGGTTTAGTTCACACTCTCTTGCGTTGGCAGAAACCCAGCAGAAGGAAAAGCCAGAGGGAGATGGGCCTCGGCAGCTTTTTAAGACCCTTTCCTCCAATACCTGAGACCCATCTGTCTGAAGCTCTGCCTCCTTTCCCTCATCTGTAAAACAGAAGGAGAGTCATCTGATGTGTGTGTGCCCTTGGCCCCAGAGCCTCGTGACAGCACTGAGAGTTGTTTTTGGAACATTAGAATGAAGTGTGGGGTTATGAAAATTCAGAGAAGACCGGGTTCATGTTGTTATGGGAAGTGAGATGGCACACAAGGCCTGATGGGGGCCAAATCCTTCACTTACTGGCACTGTATTCACCAGCTTCTAGTTGGGGAAAGAAATGAAGTCTACAAAAAGATTCTTCTCTGAATGGAAGGGATCTCTAGAAACATTTCATGTTGTCAGAAGGTGACAGAATCGAACGTGGCCAAGTGCGCACCAACGTACGAAGCTGTGATAAGAATTATGATACAGTCATTCATTAATCAGGCACTTTATTTATTCCACATTCATGAGACATCCATTAGGATGTCCTAGATGTGATGCTAAGCCCTTTGTCACATCACCTCATTTCATTGTCACAGAACTTTAGAAGTAAATTAGCATCTGTTTTGCTGATGAGAGATCTGAGGATTGAGCCACTCCTCAAAGGCACACATCCAATAAGTGGAAAGAGTGAAATGCAATCCCATGTTAATAAAGCACTCATTCCGTAATGAGTTATTAACATCTAGGATGGTGAGAGCCATTTTTCTCCTTTAAGGTAGGTAAATTGTGTTATAGAACATTCCCCCGAAGTACTCTGTGTACTCGGTTGTGATTCTTCCATGCAGTGAGGGACTCAAAATTATTTCTCACCTTTGATCACATCGGGACTGAAGCTTCTCGGTTCTTCAGAGAGCGAACATCTATCATATGTTATAGAGGAGGGAACAGGTGCAGAGCAATGAAGAGATGGGACTCAGGCCGGGCTGTAGCGCAGGTGAGCTGGCCGACGGAGCTAGAACAGGGAGACTAGCCCTCCACCACCCTCACCAAGCACCACCGCCAGGGAACAGTGAGACTCTGCACCACTGACAACTGTCACGTGACTTGGTCAATATATGCTCTATTATTCTTTTGCAGTGCCCCCCGGTCTCAAAAACAATTAGATATTTAAAGAAATTTTAATTAGATTTTCTATTAATATGCATTAACTCTTTTTCAATTTAACCATCCCAGATATAAAACGCTTAATCGAGATTAAGACATTTCTCTAAGGAAGCTTTCGGCAATTTTGGAAATACTTACTACTATCTTCATGCTGTTTTAGGAACCCCGCTGTCCGTAGA